AAAGTGTACAATAAACTAAGAGATAGGGCTCAAACCCTGGGCTTGGGAATCCCAATCAGATGTTCTAATGGCCAGTAGCCACTGCTTCCCCCTGGTGTTCTCTCATACTCTCTGTATTTTTTATCTCAGTGAAGGTGACCTGAGACCAGTTGGTCTGTTTCCTGGGGCAGCCGCCATGCCCTGGTCTAGTTTCTGGATCTATCTGAATGGCTCATGCAGCCATTCCCATGAGCCAGTGATAGTGGCTTGGTCAATTCTGTTGCTGTTGAATATGGCCTGGCTGCCTGGTTACAGAGAGTACCTGGGAGGAGGCCCAGGGTAGGAGGAAGCCTGATGGAGGCCAAAAAGTCCCTTGTACATCTGAGCCTTGCTGTTTTGTTATCTGACTTCTGGGGTTGAGAAACACTATAGCCAGGTCAAGTTGTCAGGTTCATTACTCCATGACCCAAGGGAGCTAGTAAAGGATGAGAATCACAGAGTGACCAGGAGAAGGGGCCTACCCCGGGGCTGCCCTTCCACTTGCACTTTCAGCCAGGAAAGACCTGCTGTCCCAGCAGCAGCTGCCTTTGCCATCAGCCTTTGCTGTGTTTTTCCTAGATTTGTGCATTGATCTTCCTTTATTTATTATTTACCCTTTGTCCTTTTACAGAAACAGGACATCAAATACTTGCTTTTCTCGATTTTTCCACTGTAGCCACTTGGGTGCAGAGGCAGAATTTTCCTGATTAACCTCATCTTCCTGATTTTGTGACTGTATGTTGTGAATATCTGTGCATGCATTGCTTCTCTTTATCTTGCTGGAAAGAATCCTACTCCAGAATCTTGGCTCTAGGAGAAATCCCTGGCCTCTGCCTCCAGGAAGCTCCTGAATATCCTTGGGGGCATCCAGAGGGATGGAAGAGAAACTGAGTGGGGCTCCAGGGTCTGGACAGCCTATGTTCACTTGAAGCAACTGTTTCATATATTGAGACTTAGAGTAACGTTTCACTAGTCAAAAATGCTTTGCTTTTATGATTAAAAGGTTGGAATTACTGTTCTGTGCCACCTAGGTGGGACTCATGTTCTCTTTTGAAAGAATTTCAGAAATAAAAATTTAAGCCCATTCTGCTTGCTTTCCTAGATTTTGTAGGGAATGATAATTTGGGAGAGAGGAAGTTCTGAATGACTGTGAAGACACTGGAAGTAGGATTTATTTCTTTGAAACTCAGCAGGCATTCTTAGAGTTCCTACCCTGCCAAGGTTGTTGGTTTTCACAACTCCAGAATGGTGCCTCCTGGAGTTGAGCCACGTAATGGCCTAATGGGATCCTATGAAAGCATTTAGATGCCATTTAAATAGGGGTGCAGGGTGATAAGACAGCGGCAGTATTTCAGATATCTTGCTCCAGAGTGGATTATGGTCGAATTAAGGGAAGAGTCCTCAATTGTTAAAGTTGGAAGGGGGCCAACTCAGCACTTTCTTTCCCTGCCTGTGATCAGAACCAATCAAGAGAGATACAGGAATCAGGCAAATGGAGGTTAAAATATCACTTTTAAGACCAGTAAAGCTGATCCTAGAGAATGTAGTTGATGTCTGTGTTCAAGTAAAGTTTCTAAAAGTGAATTCTAGAATCAGACAGACTTACCCACCCAACACAGGTAGCACTGGAGAACCACAGGCTTCTACCAGTCATCCCCTGCCTTTTTGACTTCTCCCCTACCATCTATAGAATGGGGACACAGAGCAGAATGCAGATTCATCTCTAAGAACGCAGATGTGGAGAAGTGGTTGAGCTAACATATCCAGTTCTTGACCCCCAAATTACCAACCCAGGGAAAAGACTCAAGAGTTCCTTTGAAAGATGTCTCTCCACGAGGAAACACCGGATCGGGGAATAGGTTTCCTCTCTCAACAAGCCCAGCTGATCAGCTTGAGATGAACTCTAAGGCAGTGAATACTGATTATGGGAAGTTTTGGTATGAGATTCATATTTATTTACTGAAAAGAAATGATCAGGATAGCATGTGTTTACTCAGGGAACATTTCTGGAGGAAACATTGGGCACGGTTTGGTGGAGGAAAGCACACAGCCTTAAACAGTTTGACGTGTAGAAATGGGGAGAGTCTGGGGCGCCTGGGTGGCTCAGTCGGTTAAGCGGCCGACTT